AAGCATCGAAGAGCACTCCGACGACCTGAGGCTCCTGACCCCTGGTTCAAAACTACCAGGCTTGCACGGTCGGAAAATCCCGGCACGGACCACCCCATCGAAGGGCAGCCCCACTTTGCTGAAAGCAGCTGCGACAGCTCCCAGCCAGTCACCTTGATTCACCCCTTTGGCTGACACGATGATGGGGAGGAGGTCGTTACGCTTCGCCAAAGTTTGGGAGGTCTTATGAACCCTCAAACGGATTTCCAAATATCCAGATCCTTCAAGGTCGTAATCCGAAATCACCTCCTCCACCTGAGCCAGGTCGCTGTGGCGCGCTCGGGAATACAGCGCGAGCAACAAGTAACCCGCTATGGCCTTATTCCAATCGCTCTCCTTGGGGTCTCCTAGAGTGCTGTGCAAGGACCTGACCTCCTGCACAGTAAGCGGCCTTGCGCGAGAGGTCGGGGCTTTCCGGATGCCTAGCTGAACGCTCAAACCGCACACTCTGCGACTGCCCAAGATGTCCTTCAGGTCCACCCCCAAAACATAATTCACAAAGCGGAAAGCTGACAGGAGAGCTGAAGCACGCGAAGGAGGCGACCCCTCTCTTTTCAACAGGCTGAAGTAACTCCACACGGCCTCCTCGGCCACTGGCGTTTCCAGCTCTTCTTTGTCTGCCCACCTGAGAAAGGATAAAATGGAGTTGGCCCTCTTAAGCACCGTTTGAGGGCTGCGAAGCCCAATGCACGCCCCAATGGTCTCGAGCGACCTGTCCCGAGACCTCTCGCCTTCAAAGGATCTGCCCAACTCGGGGGACAGACGAGAAGACTCAATGCGGCCCACTACGTGATGCATCTTGCAAACTGCCTTATCCATCATTTGCTCCCGCTCACGTGAAGGGTGCAAGTCTTTGAAGGCTCCAAAAGCCTGAGAAGCAATATCAAGAACTGGCACAGGGGGCCTCGGTTCGGCAGCAATCACAGTGGGATCATGCGGAGGCTTCAACGGCCCTGGAACACGCGGAATGAGGCTATCGAAAGGATTAGAGGGCTCCTGACTTCCAAAGATCGACCTGAAGATACCCCGCTCCCACGGAAGAGCAGGGGCCGGGGGTGCAGCGCGGCTGACCTCGTTGGCAACCGCCCTTTCAATCACACCATCAATCACACGGCCAAGGGCTGCAGCTGGGTCCCGAAAGCTGGGGCTCATTTCAGGAGCAACCAAAGATTGCATGCTTAGCGAACCCGCCTGCACGCCTGGCTCTGACAAGCTCTCGCGCATGGGAAACCTCGCTGAGTGTTCCCTGACCTCCTGGTACCATCTCGCCTCAGAAACAGGGGAGAACGATGGCGATGGGAAACCTTCCCCTGACCACTCACGCTCGGCCTCATCGATGCTTGGGCATTCACGGAGAAAATCAAAGACACTTCTACCATCACCGTGCTCCTGACCCCAATCCTGGATTTCCGAAGGCGATTCACAAAAATGCGACGGTGGCGACGGGGGAAATTTTGGCCTTGGGCTGCCCTGCAAGTCGGATGGTTCCTGCTGATCATGCTGACTGCTCCCAGCTGGCCTTTGACCCTGCAAGTCGGATGGTTCCTGGTGATCATGCCGACTGTTATCGGGATCACCCTGCAAGGCGCCTAATCCTAACCCCCTATTACCCGAAAAAGGTTCCCCCTGGTGCAAACGGTGAAGAAAAACATCAAACTGCACAGGCACATCTAGAGGGTAAGGCTCGGACGCAGAAGACTGCTGGGCCTGCAAGCGGAGTTGACGGGCCTCCATGGAGAAAAGGCTCATGAGAGACCACTCACCTGCGGTAGTACAAGTGCAGCAGATGGCGGCCGTTACGCCGCGCAGTTGCGGTCAGCTCTGAGCGCACACGATAAATTTCGGCACAAGTGATGAAAAGAGAATCGCACTCGTCCAAGCC